CGACTATACCGGAGGGTTGGAACTGGCTCTATGGGGAAACTTGAAGACCGGACCTTGGGGGTGATACACTTTGTATATTCTAATAACGTTCACAAGGCCAATACTAGTATGGTGTTATCATCGAGCGCGCAATAACTAGGTTGTTCCTCTATTAGATTTGGACCCGAGTCTGTCGCGAGCTCGGGTCCAAGCTAAACCGGAGTATAGACCAGTGCAGGGACGAAAGAGAACCGAACCGACTTGGGTGGTGACTGGGGTCTTTGTATTCCATAATTAGCCGATTACATGCACTGTAAATAAAAAGTGAGAATTGACCGTCGTACCATTCCCTGTCCCAGTCCTTTCACAAGGCCTCTCATTCTATTGAGACTGGCTAAACGAAGCGCCGCCATCACACTAGGCAGTCCATTCCGACACTTGCTCATCGCGATATTTTGCACGAGCGTGTCGTCCTTCACAGTGAGTACAACCTGCTCCCGTAACAGTGACACTGCTTAGGCTTGCTTCACTTCGTATCCAATTATTGACCAACTTCTGGTTCTTTTCACTAGCTTCTGACGCGCCAACATCTGTCCCATCCATCCCACTTTTTTCACTGTCTCTAGGTGGACACAATGCGATCCATTCTTCAGCCTTTGGCTGGACGCACCGTGTTTGCACCAATTGAAACAATAGTCTTCTTCGCCATCGTCGGAACTCTCGCATACTTCCAGGTCCTTTCAGCAATCAAACACTCTTCATTCTTCGCTCCATCCGTTCCTTCAACACTCCGTCCAGCCCATGCATTACTGCGTGATGGCGAGTGGGTTGGCGTCGATGAAGACTGGTACTTGAAACGCGTCAAAACAGCTGACTCACGTCCATTGGAATTACAACAATTAATATTTTCATTAGATTCCGCTCAGTCTTCAGCTACAGTCAGTGTTTGTCCAATTTGTTTGTGTCGTCATGATTCTGACACGTTCATTGCCAGGTCACTGCAGACTCTGCACCTGTCGACCTCGTATCCTTATCCCAATCTATTGATAATATTACGCACCATATAGTTCACGGCCTCTCTACCCCATTAGGCGAGACATACACGTCGCTTTGCTATTATCCAGTGACCGGTGAATCGTCATTACCCGCCTCATGTTTCACCACCGCATCCCTCCAAACCTCGCGGTCGAAGACAGTCACGTTGTCTTTTGCTGCTGGCGCTAGCGATGCATTTGTTGACGCGCTGAACCATCAACCCGGTTTCACAGCTGATGAATTTGGAGTCAGATACCAAATAGAGACCCACGTCACGGAGACCATCGGAGAAATGAAAGGTGGTAAATGGATGGCCTATGCTGCACGAGCTCTTATTGTGCGGTTCTGGGAGCTTACCAAGGTCAGTAGTCCGAAGCCTATTATGTCATTCTTGTCATGCTCACCTGCAATCTAGAAAGCGGATTCACTGGACATCTTGCTCGTTCTCATTGGCTATATACTCATGCACGCATCATTCATTCGCCTGTTCTTCTCAGCTCGCGCACTTGGTTCCAACTTGAAGCTCAGCCTTGCAATCTTGTCGTCATCCATCCTTGCATTCATGCTCGCTCTCCCCATCTCGCATTGCCTCGAGATTCCTTTGGATCCCATCAGCCTCACTGAAGCTCTACCTTTCTTTGTGTGCACGGTTGGTTTCGACAAGCCTCTCCGTCTTGCAGCTGCAGTGTTCAACCATCCTCATCTGTTGTCTCCGGTTAAAGAGGGCAGGTGGCGTGGCCAGATGAAACCTGCTGGCGAAGTAGTTATGGAAGCCATCGAAAACAGCGGTAATGCCATCTTACGTGATTACGCGCTTGAGATCGCGGTCCTCTCCATGGGAGCGAAGAGTAAAGTTGGTGGTCTGAAGGAGTTCTGTGCGCTTGCGGCACTGACACTGACGTTGGATTGTGTTTTGTTTGGCACCTTCTATGCCGCGATGTTGGCAATTATGGTCGAGGTTAGTGATCATACGGTTTCCTTTTTTGGATCAACTGGGTTAGGGTCAACATGGCTCTTTCTCTGATTGTTCTCCAGAACAACGCTCATGGTGCCTGATTGTTTTAGGTTCGGAGGATCAAAGCTGCTCGTGATATGACAAGATCTCGGAGCTCGCATAATCTTAGTGAACGCAAGCCAAGTGCGCTCGTCCGTTCACCTCCTCAAGTCCAGGACGCCAGTCTTAGGCGTCAGCTATCAGAATCCCTATTGGGTGTCAAGGGTTCTATGCTCAGACAGAAAAACGGCCCACCGCCAGAAGTTAAGGAAGAGAATCCTCTCGCACGTCTCAAACTTCTTCTCGTACGTCACTGCCGCACCTGACCTCCTTTCCTGTCACATTGATGTCCAAATGAATAGATCGTATCCTTCCTAACTGTGCACATTCTCAACTTCGCAACCACGCTCACTCCTGCAACCATTTCGAGGTACCAGACTCAGACCTTGATTGACTCTGCAAGAACCGAGTATTCGGTGTCACACAGAGTTGACATCACCTCTCCTGCCATTACCAGTGTCCTCGCCAACCTTGCTGCTATCGACACCACTCTTCAAGTAGAAGTCGAAGGTGAAGTTAACGTGTCTGCACCTACCGATCTGCTTGTCAAGATCGCGCCGCCCCTGTACATCCGCGTCACGCCACCAGGTCCAGTTCGTCCTCGCGCACTATTCAGATCTACCGAGGCGATCGAGAACTTCATGACTGGTTGGACAACACTCGTGGGCGACCCCATTCTATCAAAATGGATCGTCCTTGTCCTCGCTGTCAGCGTGGCACTCAATGGTTACCTTCTCAAGGGCATTGCTGAGGGTGCCATGCGTGGACTGCAGCCCAACAATGTGCGCTTTAGGTCGGTCGTTGCCGAGAAACGCGAGAAGGATGATGAGGAAATAGTAACCCCTGGAGTTAGAGCTCCTGGTGGACGCAGACGGTCATCCTTCGTAGTTGGTGATTCGAAGCCGCCCTCGCCGAGTTCTTCAGATTCCGAGAAGCCTATCTTTCGTCCGGTTGCTATCCGCCCTATGCGAGTCCTTGCACCCATTGCAATTCCCGCTACCGCTGGTGTGTCTGCACAGATACTTGACATGAAGCTCCGCGCACAAGCGGCACCTGCACCAAGAGAGGTCCAGCCAATTCAATTCCCCATTCGGTCGTTGGAGCAGTGCATCGAGGTGTTTGAGAATGGACCTCGTCCTGTGTCAGCGGCTCTTGCGACGCTCAATGACGAAGAGGTTGTCATGCTTGCACAGAACGGGAAGATTGCGGCATATGCTTTGGAGAAAGTGCTTGGTGATCTTGAGCGGGCTGTTACCATTCGTCGTGCATTGATCTGTAAGTCTGTCTTCATATTTCAGGGATATTGATGCTCATTCGATACCTAGCTCGTGCCACTGACACCAAATCGCTTGAGTACTCGGATATCCCCATGCACAACTACGATTACTCTCGTGTCGTTGGAGCGTGCTGTGAGAACGTTGTCGGTTACATCCCTATTCCTCTTGGTGTAGCTGGCCCCCTCAACATCGATGGCGAGCTCGTCCACATTCCCATGGCTACTGCTGAAGGCACACTTGTTGCGTCTACTTCGCGTGGTTGTAAGGCCCTGAATGCAGGCGGAGGTGTCACAACCGTCCTTACCAACGACGCCATGACGCGAGGACCTGCAATCGACTTCCCTTCCATCATCATGGCTGCAGAAGCTAAGGCATGGATTGACTCGGAAGAAGGCTTTGAGATCATTCGTGAGGCATTCGAGTCGACGTCGCGTTTCGCCAAGCTTCAGCGCCTCAAGACTGCAATGGCTGGCCGTACGCTGTTCGTTCGATTTGCAACACGCACTGGTGACGCTATGGGCATGAACATGATTTCCAAGGGTACGGAGAAGGCGCTTGAGGTCGTGCAAAAGCATTTCCCGGAGATGATCACGCTTGCTCTGTCGGGCAACTACTGCACAGACAAGAAGCCTGCTGCCATCAATTGGATTGAGGGACGCGGAAAGAGTGTGGTAGCTGAGGCCGTTATTCCTGGCAAGGTTGTCAAGAGCGTGTTGAAAACCACGGTTGAGGCGCTCTGCAATCTTAACACAAAGAAGAACTTGGTTGGAAGTGCTATGGCGGGCTCGATTGGTGGCTTCAATGCACATGCTGCAAATATCCTGACTGCGGTTTTCTTGGCTACTGGTCAGGACCCTGCGCAGAACGTGGAGAGCTCGAATTGCATGACCCTCATGGAACCGTAAGTCGCAATTGTTATCAGCTGACGATGCTTGATACTGATGACTGTCTGTAGAACGAACGACGGCGAAGATCTCCTTATGACTGTCTCAATGCCCTCGATTGAGGTTGGCACTGTTGGTGGAGGCACTGTTCTTGGTCCTCAGGGCTCCGTCCTCGAGATGCTCGGAATCAAGGGCGCACACCCCACCACTCCCGGCCACAATGCGCAGCGCCTTGCTTGTATTATTGCTGCTTCCGTCATGGCCGGTGAACTCTCGCTCCTGAGTGCTCTCGCCGCCGGTCATCTCGTCCGTGCGCATCTTGTCCACAACCGCTCCCAAGCCAACACCCCAACGTCGTCACGGCCCGTTACCCCTGGACTCATCGCCAGCGACATCGTTTGGGAGCAGAAGACCGCCGAGAAAAGTCTCGGACCGCGTTCTGATTCTGTCCTCACGCATTCATTATCGACGACATCATTACCCCCGTACACAGCTAACCCGGAGACTGAGAAGCCATCTCAGTAGTCTACTGACAGACTGGCTGCGACCTGACGCTTAGCATTTTTCTTTCTTTTAGACTGTCATACTCATTTATATACATCAATATTTTTTCCAATTGCCTTTGCTCAGCATTTAGACGGAAAATAGCTATAGGATCTTTATCTTTGTATATTTGTAGCTAGTTGGCTTATACTACGTAGCAAGCTTGTTGACCGCCTGTATGTTGTGCGCTCAATGCATACCTCACGATTGACTATTGCGGTGTGCGTCTTAGTAAAAACGTGGAAGTCAACGTGGTTTTTATTATGACTTTACAAAATGATAACATAATTTTACACGACACCATTTACATAAATCAATATAAATCTGACTCGCAGATGTAATACATATTACAATATTCTTCGCCACTTTTCCACAACCAACATAAGGCTGTGTATTATCTTCTTCATTGTCCTGTTCATGACTTTACCCAGTTTCGAACGTTCCTGCGGGAAACCAAGTCCTTGACAACATTTGCGTGATTGAGATTATTGAGTTCACGCAAACTAATCACGCCCCAGCATCTAGTTAGGGGGCCCCTGCATGTATCCGGGGTACATGTAGCCCGCATTCAACCCATTGCCAGCGTTCGCGAGCCCGCCATAGCCGTTCTGGGGATATGTCGGGCCATAGAAGTATCCTACCGATGGGTGATATTGGTAGGAATAAGCTGGGGCGGGGGGCTGCCACGGATTGGGGGCCGGCCTCGCGGGCCCGCCGTAAAAGGCCCCCAACATGTTATTGAAGTTGTTTTGCTGAGGGGGCTGTGGCTGTGGCTGGGGCTGAGCCTGGAACTGAAACTGAAGCTGCGGCAGGAGCTGGGGCTGGGGCTGAGGCTGAGGCTGAGGCTGGGGCTGAAGCTGCGGCTGCGGCTGCGGCTGCGGCTGGGATGCAGTCGATGCGGTCATGTGTGATGCGGATGCGGCAACAGTATGACCGCCGCCGCGTGCGGCGCGAGAAAGAGGGAGGTGCCCATGCTCTATCTTGCGGTGGCGAGTCAGTGCGGCAGGGTTGTGGGTCTTATAGCCACAACCGTGCGGACATCTGTAACGCTGTTCACCGGTGCTAAAATTGTTGTTGTTAATTAGGTGGAATGGTCGTCAGTTATGAAGGAGTACTCACTGCCTGTCGGAATGGATTTCGAAGCTGGGTTTGGACAAAGTCGCAAAGTCACAGCCGGGAACACGACATATGTGGGCACTGACAGTGAACGAATGTCAGTGGATCGTATACCATACAAGATAATCACGGACTTGGGTGAATGTGCGGCCTCATGTTTCTTGAGGTCATTATATTTAGTAAAGGTTTTGTTACAGTCAGTTTGAGCAGAGCAAACATAGGTCTACACGTTCCAAATTCAGTTTTAGTGCATGACGTATGGTCGGGGTTAGGTTCACCTTTATGACAGCCATTTTGAAATGACTGATTGTGGAGGAATATAAGCGAGGGGTATAAGTTGATTTTGTCTGAGGTGAATGCGGAATATCCTTGAGGGTGATGATGCTGGGTAGGCATTTGTATTGATATTTATACGGATTCCTGGAGGTGCAAGTGGCATTGTAGACAGACACTTTGAATTGTGGACAGACGCTCGTTGTGGACCGATGTGTGATTGTGGATCTCATTAACCGTACATTTGCGGAAGCAACTAGTGGTCATGAGCCACTGTCATTATTGATGTGGCGGAGCGTGAATGCATTGTCCACTATTTCGTTCCGCGCATTGATACAAAGGAATTTGACACAGCAAGCATGAGTGGGTAGACGCTCGCATTGACACGTTGAAGTGGATCAGAGACTTACCGATAGGCTTCAACTAGCTTTCACCCGTACCACATTCCGGGTTCTGATGGATTGGCATATGTCACAACAATTGTGCTCCATCTTGATCATCGACATCCCTGCTAGGACCATCTAAGAATCATTGGCAGTCTACAGCAGTTGTGGTCCCTACCTTTGTTGACTTCGACACCTCCTGTTGCTTTTGCAGCTCGAAATTACATTGTAGAAGCTGATCTCAAGTTCAGCTGCTCATTCCTGGTCATCATTCATGGTAAGTTGTCCGCAGGTCCAGGCTCGGCGGCGAGACTTTCCAAGCTTGGGTCAACTTCCCAGAAAGAGGTGCTTTCCCGGGGGTCACCAAGTTCTGGCAATGTAAAAACTTTATGCATCAATGCATCATTGATCATGTGCATCATGGGCCGGCCATCTGTAGGATTCTCCGCTTCGCTCCTGAAATTGACGGTTCTAAGTCCAACTCCGCTCGGCTTTGCAGTCCAAAGCACGATTTCACGGCAACCGATAGACTCGTAACCAGTCTGACTATGCGTCAATTTGAGGTGGTGAGAATTTATTGAACTTGTGCAACCGTGGTAGTCTATGTACGCCAGGCTGGTCACGAGCCTAGGCAACCGACGGGCGTGCTCGCTTTGCCGCCGCTTATCGTTCCTAATCTGGTAGTCACTTCTTCAACTCAAAGCTGGACTACTGACACTTCTACTACTGTAGATATTCAACGAATACATTTTTTCGCCCCCTCTTTGGACTGCAAACCTCATCTATTGGACGCCAATTTTTACACAAAGCTGGCTCAGCGTTTGCGAGTCAATATTTGGGGCAAGCACTCCCACCGGAGTCAGTTTTACATACGTGCGAAGGCTCAAGTTTCTGCGATACTCGGCGCTTCGACGACGTTGGTTTAAAATACTTATGTGCCTCGAGGTCAGCTGTTTGCTTGTGGCGTGGATGGTGAATTCTTTTCAAGATGACTTCACTGGGATTCCGTCAAAGTGTTAAGTCTGCGCTGCAAACAGCTAGGAGCACGTCGACGCGTCGTAATACCGGACAATACTGCTCTCTGACGTCTTCCTCTGTCCAGGGACCTACTAAACCCTCCCTGGATCTTCGAACGCTTACAAATTTCTTTAGAGAAGAGATCCTCGGGAAACATGCTCACCGTCCTGCCCTCATTTGTACGCAAGAACGTCCCCGTGCCCATGGTGGGCCACCATCACGGAACCTCAATGTGATTGACCACCTAGCATGGGATTTTGACGAGTTTGACAAGCACATACGAGCACTGGCGCGAGGCTTGGTTTCGATGGGTGTCAGGAAGGGTGATCGCGTTGCAGTACTCATGGGAAACAATAGGTATCGTGTTTTGGTTCTAACACGTCATATACGCTAATCCAGTGGTGAAGCTCTTATGCATCACTTCAGTGGGCGTGCGCGAGCATAGGTGCAATCCTCGTGACGCTGAACCCTGCCTATAGGTTGAATGAACTTGTAAGTTGATTATACGTTACCTGCAATGCTTGAACCATTGTGTTGCAGGTGGAGACAATCAACCTTGTCGGCGTTACCCATCTCTTCACTGTACCTCGCATCAGAACGTCAAATTATATCCGCATGCTCTCTGATGCCTTTCCTGGGTTGTGCAACTCAAGTCCCGGCAATATTCAAGAGCCCGCCCTTCCTTCGCTGAGGAACTTAGTCGTGGTCAATAATATCCACGACACTGCAGAGTGGCATCGGGAGACGTGCGATGTGAAGTGTATTACTGATTGGAGAGAGACTTTGATATGGAGGGAAGATACGTGGGAACAGCGTCATATCGAAGAGTCGGTTCAGTCTCAAAGAAGTGACGAAGTTATTAACCTGCAGTTTACTAGGTGGGTTTTCTTCTAGATGAACTTTCATTTTCTCATAGTAAACAATGATACATAGTGGGACCACCGGTGCTCCCAAGGCTGTCTCGGTAAATGACTGCCTCTACTATGTTTGCGCCGCTCCTGAATACCATATCAGCTAACTCACACGAACCTACTCAATAATGGCATCTCCATCGGTGATTGTATGCGACTGGGCCCAGACGATGTCCTTTGTGCGTTCATCTTTGATTCTCGTGTCGTATGATATAGATGTTTCTCGCCAGGCAATGTGCCTCCTCTGTTCCACTGTTTTGATGAGTGACAATTATCTGTTTTTTCTTGCAATCATTCTTACCTTGAATTTATGCACGCCTAGTCATCGGTAACCTTGCTGCGTGGTCCTATGGGTCTTGCGTTGTATACCCTTCAGAAATCTATGACCCTAAAGCTATCGTGGACTCCATCGTGCAGCACAGATGTACGGCTCTGCATGGCGTCCCCACGCATTTCTTGGGTGTGTTGGCGGAAGTGCAGAAGCGGCAAGACGCGGGAGAGAAGCTGGATTTGAGTTGCCTACGGTAAGTGGAACAAGTCCAACCTAACTGTGCATCATCACTCATGACATGTAGGACTGGCGTTGCGGCAGGCTCCCCAATACCTATCGACCTCATGCGACAGCTCATCGAGAAATTGAACCTTGTGGATCTGTCTATTGCATATGGAATGAGTGAGTTTCCATTTCGTGAGCCTGAAATTCGGTTAATTAACCTTTTAACAGCGGAAACAAGGTGAATTTACTCCCTCGGCGGGAATAGGGTTCTATAATGGTTTGATTTTATTTCAGCCCCGTGTCTTTTCAAACCACACTAGCGGATCCAATCATCAAGCGTGTTGAGACGGTCGGCAAAGTGCAACCGCACGTGATGGCCAAGATCATTGACCAAGATGGACATGTTGTCCCTGTCGGAAAGCCAGGTGAACTGTGTGTCGCTGGTTATCTTGTTCAGAAAGGGTTCGCTTGGTCCAGTTTTTAGTTTGTTTGTGTCCGCTGAAATAAGTCTAGCTACTGGGAGGATGAAGAACAAACGCAGAAGGCCATGCGGGCAGATCCGAATGACCCGTCCATAATATGGATGCATTCAGGTGATGAAGGGATCATGGATGAGGAAGGATATCTGAAGAGTAAGTCTGTTGTTAGATGCTTCTTAAATAATTGTTTGATGGCCCGCAGTTGTTGGCAGGATAAAGGTTAGTACACGTCTTGATTCGGTAATCCAGAGAATAAACTACTTCACAGGACATTATTATCCGTGGCGGAGAGGTGACGCATTCCGTCTCACATAAATAGTACCATGGCGGTCTAACTCAGCTTACAGAATCTATTTCCGGTCCAAATTGAGAACGCACTGACTGCACATCCTTCCATCAGGGAAGCTGCAGTTGTGTCCGTGCGTGATACAAAGTATGGAGAGGTCGTGGGGGCATGGATTGTCAGAGAACCGGGCACCAACGTGTCAAGAGAAGACGTCCGTCGGACCGTCGCAGAGAATATGAATCCACAGGCAAGTTCCGGATGCGAGTTTCTCGGCCAAACTGACGCTTTCCCAGAATGCTCCAGCGTGGGTATGGTTTGTCGGCGAAGATGGCGCACCGGGAGAACTTCCGAAGACTGCCAGTGGGAAGGTTATGAAACATGTTCTTCGTAAGTGGAATGCAGGGTTTGCGCAGAATGCTGTTGGGACCGTCGGAGGGAAATGATCTATCGATGTATCATGCATCATGGACTATCGGTTACGCTCGGTCCACTACATACTTCGGGAGTCTCGCTGATGTCACGAATGATGGCGGACAGTCGCACTGGCCGAATTCAAAGTCCACTCGGCAGAGGCAGACTGAGTTAGATTCGCGATTCATGAACGCGTGAACTTCAACAGCAATTGATTAAACATTGAATATTGGGGGTTTCAACATTTTATCTCTTGCAAGATTTCAATCAAGAGCAGATCTGGACCTGGCTAGAGCGTTCCAGAGCACCCTAGATTACCTTTAGAATGTAATTTCACTGGCGGTAAAAGGTGGTAAGATATCAGTTTCCCTGCTCACGGTGTTCTGGCAGTCAGGATTTCCTGTTTGATTTGTGCAATCAGTTCAATCATTGCCCCATCTCTGGGTAGCGAAAGAGTGCCGACAAAGACGTTTTTGCGCTTGCATGAAGCCGTCGGATAGCTTCATTTGGATGTCTCCTTCAATGCGCGAGAGTACAGGAATTCGAAAAATACATAATCATACCTTGTGTACTCTTGCAGGTACCATTTGCGACATAGACGAGTGCAGTCTGAATCTTGGACTCATACATAGTTGAGGTCGGTAGAGGGGCCACCAGACCGCAGCAATGATGTTAAATTTAATATCCGACATCGGCAACTATGACCAATCTGTGACTTTTACTGCCGTCACGCGATTTCCACCATTTCTCAACAGATTTGTTTTGTTTCATTTGGAATATTGATATGCTCTTATAATATATAAAACATACACATTGAAGTCAGTAACCGAGAAATTACTTTACATAAAATTGAGTCCTGTAGATAAAATCACCAAATAGAGGACCGTCACAAATAGGGGCAATTTACTCGTCCAGATCGTGAGAACTTTCGCAGGAAATGAAAAGGTCAAAAGTGGGGGCACGAACAAAAGTTTGTCATTCACCCAACTCCAACAACAAACATGGCGGTTACAAAACGCGTTCGGATTTACACTGAAGAGGATGTTGCAAACCACAAGTCCGCCAAAAGCTGTTGGATAACCTGCCGTGGCAAGGTTTACGATGTCACTGGATTCGTGCCCGACCATCCAGGAGGAGACGACCTCATTCTTGCGCATGCTGGGACGGACGTAGAAAGTATTATGAAGGATGGGGATTCTCATGATCACTCTGACTCTGCGTATGAGATGTTGGAGGAATACGTGATTGGACGTTTGGGGACGGACGCAACAGTTGTCAGAGATGGTACGTACTTAGCTGCGCTTTAACGGAAAACACACTCATGGAGGATTTTTTCTGCAGACTGGGAAGCCCCAGATGAC